TGGTATATATCGCGGAAATCAGTCATAAATTAAACCGTATTGCCAAAAACGGGCAGCATGAATGCGTTCGAGCGATTTAGAAAGGCAACCAACTCGTTTTACGGAGCTCATCTCTCAGTCTAGTCTGCATAGGACAAAACTCGCTAGATGAGTTTTTCATTTGGCGGAATGAGGAAGGATAGAATAATTTTTATATGCTCCAGGCTTTTTTGCATTAGAGTTAATTGTAAATTTAAATTAATTTATGATTGTTTTAACCAGAGGAAAGTGAATAAGGAGCGGAGTTATCAGGGATTTGTAACAGGAAGTGCACGGTGTGCTCAAGTAACGGCTCGTTAAAAATGTATTATTGGTTATTGTGATTTAGGTCAATTTGTTACCGAAATTACCCACTTCATTTTATTTTAATAAACCGGTTGTGTTTAAACTAAACGCCAATAAACAACAACAAAAAAAACTTCCAAAAGAAGCAATTTCAGAGGCATAAGTGCAAATTTTTATTTAACACTTCTCTTTTTAGCTAAAAATATTATAGAAAATAAGTAAAAAGTTAATTTTTTTCCACAAAATAATGCTATTTTTAGTCATTCAAGTAATATTAATATTTGAATTATTAAAATATTAGTAAATTTTATTTCAGTTTTTTATATAAAAAAATTTTGAGTAATTTGATAAAATCCGGCCTTGCAATACTTTTTTGGTAATTAGTTGAATTGCCATTTTTATTGAGAAACAAAACAGGTAGCGAGCATGCATATCGGATTTCTCAACCTGATCAAGATTAGATTTCGTGCAATGTAAGCAAACAATAACCGCAGTGAGCAAATCGACGTTTGCTAAATAAATGCCTTATCGGAGAGTGTTAATTAATTAAATTTCATTCGCCGTGGAATCGATTATGAGCGTGGATTTTCTTTTTCGGCGGCAGCGCACGACGAAAATAACTCTCGCGTGTTTGCATCGCCTTGGGTATGCTATTTTCGTATTCCACGCACTACCTCGTAGTATAATAGGCAAAAAAGGAAAATAAAAAGCGGTTTCGTTTTTTAATTTAATTGCATTTAATTGCGCGAAAGCAGAGGAACCTCTTCTTTTCTCTTTGCCCGTTAACACACATTCAAAAGCAATTTTCATTCATTTTCCAATATAAGAGACGAAAGCTCGAGGTGTTGGTTGAGGCGGCCGCAAAATTTAAGGTCACTGCAATTTGCTCGCCTATGTAATTTGCAGAAATTGCGTTGATTTATGCCGACTGATAACCTCAAATTTGGTTGTGATTGATGTTGAATTTGACCATTGTTGTTGGTTTAAGTAATGCAAAAATAGCAAAATAAGTGCTTACATTTTTAGGTCCAATATTTTGAGGATTTTCACCTACGCCTCTATGGCATCATCACACACTTTGTTTACTGTTTTAATATATGAATGAATTAGAAAAGAGTGAAGTCACCACGTGTATTTTGACGTTTGAGGAAAACATTCAAAAGTTGATTTATATTTGTTATTTTCTTTAATGGACTCGTAAAAATTTTCTTCAATTTATTTTCTTGAATACAAATCACTCTTAAAATTTAAAGATGATTTATATTTGAGCTTCCGGCTTGGAAGATGACTTTGGTGTTTAAACTGCGCCATTCATGAGTTCGTCTCTTCTGACACTTTTTCGTCACTTTGTTTATATTTCCGGGTATTTCCATAAGGATTTTCCTTAAATCAGACTTTGTGAATAGAAAACCATTACCTAATTCAATACATTCCAAATCATTTGCAATGATTTTCAAAACTTGTAAATAAAAACAGATGGCGAACGAAGACAATTCGGCGCGTTATGCAAAAACCGCGGCGAGAAAGGTGCGCTTATGTCAATTACGTTTGTACTTTGCATTTGCATGCGAGCTCAGCTTCCGCGATTCGGCTCATCTTTTCTCTCTCGCTGACATTGGGTAACCACGCGCGTGTATATCAAAATTTGCGAGTCACACACACACGGAGTACGGACGATTTCCACAAATATCCAGCAAATCTCGCACTTTCCAATTATGTGACAATGCACAGCGCACCTCGTAAAAAAAAGCACTTTCTTTCTTTCTTCCCCGTCGCAAAACGTCCATAATGCGTCACGCAGACACACTCACAATGATGCTAATTACTCGTCCGAATCGGCCGTCGGCGGTCAATCAGCAGTTTGCGCAACGGCTGCTGGGCGCCGCCGCGGTTTATAAAATGTAATGAACGTTTTGATTAATGCAGCAGCACGGCTTGGCTTTTTCTATCCTGCCTGTCTAGCTGCACAAGATGACAATCGCTTGATTTGACACCATATTGAATAGCGGAATTTGCATAATTTGGGCGTTACCACGCGTCTCTGCTTGTAAAAACTCTATGTCTATAAAGAGAGGGAAACGCGCGCACATCTTCACACACCAAAATGCAAACAATATTATTTTATTCATTTCATATAAGATCTATTTTTTTTTTTTTTACTTAAATTTTCTTTACTTTAAAATAAACTTTTTATAATTCATTTATAATTTTCAACTACTTTTTATAAATATGAAAAAAAATATATAAAATTTAATGCGACTTCAATCCAGTTTTGCAATCAAAACATCCTAAAAATAAGCCATGATTCTAGTCATGAACAGAGTGCTGCCATTTGACTTGATTTTTAAGTTTTAATTGGAAAAATTAATTTTCTGGTAACGGAAATCCTAATCTGTCCGGAAAAAAACTGAAAAATTTTAAATAAGAACATTTTAATTCGTTTTCCGAGCAGTGGATTTCTGAATTCACGTTAAATTTCTTTTCAAAAATTAAAATAGAAACTTGAACTTGAATACACTAAATATCACAACTATGATACAACTCTACACGAAAAATTTTAAAAAATTGAATAAATTTACATTCACACTAATGGATGAAATAGATTAAATAAACTTGACCGTTGCTGTTTTCACAAGAAACAACGGTTTTTGGTGATTTAATATTTAAAAATTAATTTAATAATTATTCAGAATTATCAATTATTTTAAATAAAAATGAATGTCAACTCGCAACAAATTATTATATTAAAAATTTTATGGTATAATTTTTTTCTTAACTTACATCTATTGCGGTCTGTTGCTATTACTATTGCTCTGACATTGATCTTTGGTAAACGTCATAATCTGCCTCTATGCATAGACAACTGAACTAGCAGTGCGCATACTTCTCATAGCATATGCGTTGTGTATGTTAATTAGTAAACCTTTTCATGCACTTGCCACAAGACCTTGGCATTTTGTAAAAAGTTGTAGCGCGCGTTTATACGTTGCAGTTTATTGAGTCGATCGGTTCACTTTCCATCTACGACGACGGGGAAGGAGAGTCAATTATCGGACGTAATAATTACTAATAATAAATTGTATTAATTCGCGTATCGAGACTAGCTGAGAACTCGATGAAGCTTGCGTAAGAATATTTCACGCTCGGTAAATTTGTAGAAGTGATAAAAATTGATATTCTCGCCCGTAAAAACAACAATATTAGAAAATAATCGTGTGCAATTTTCGGTCCACACGCACTAATTGCACGATATTTGGGCCGGAATAAAAATTGCCTAAGCCTTCTCAGCGCGGTCCGGCGGCGACAACCTTGATCCAAACCCAAATTGATTCGCACACAAGCTCAGGTAAAAAAGGAAGTGTAGAAAATAATCCTCGGGGCTGCGCTCGTTTTCCACCAACCGGCCCGAGTGCTCGAGGAATGCGGAAATTTGGCACTGCCGCCAACCTTGAGTGCCATTACTTAACCCTTCATCTTCTAATGAACCGCTCTTGCGCAAGAAACTGGAACCGGCGAGTCGTGATTGAAAGAAAACAAGCCAGTTTGCTTTTTTCAAATTTGAGTTCACCTGTTTACCTCACGACCGGTGGTTGAACTCGCGCGTACTCAGTTTTTGCTCCAGTCTTGTACGCCACAGACATGCATATTATTATTTTCTTGCGCTCGGGAATCCCTGATGATGGGATTCGTCCGTCTAAAAAGAATTGATTGATGCTTGTGCCAATCATCCTTGTTTCTTTTTTGCAGGTCTGTTTACCAAGTTTGTGCAACCGGAGAGGAAGGACCTGTTTGAGTTGCTCTTTCAGGGGACAAATATTTGAGCCTAGATTTCTGGCAAATATTTGCGGTTTCCGCACTAATACTCGGGCACAAATATATGCGGATCTAAAACCGACAAGATTGAAACGAAAAGTTGCCAAACCAGTTCACAGGAATGTACGAATTTCATTTCATCTTCAAAATGTATCAGATTAAGCAACTTAATATTATGGAAAGGGAAACTATTTTCGAAACCCACAGCAAGATTTGAACCAAAGCAAAAAACTTCTAAAATTTAGAAATAAGTAAAAATCTAAATAGCTAAGGTTTTGAATTTTAGTCAAAATTACAGATCTTTGTGAACAATTCAACTTTAAAAAAAAACAGCTAAATGATTGATTAATGATTGTATTTAATAAGTTAAGAATTGTTGATCAGTCCAACAGTAAATAATAGCAAAAAAAAATTTTATTTATATGAATTTATTGATTGAATCAGATTTGATGTAAAATTTCATTTTAATTCATTGTATTTGAACAGAAAATAAATAAACAAATATAATAAAATAAAATAATAAAAATTAATTTCAAATAACTTTATATTATTGATAAAAATTTATAAATGTTTTTCTGCTAAAAATTTCTAATTTCTTACAAAAAATTTAACAATAAAAAAAAATGATTGATTCTTTCATCAATCAGAGTAAGTGATAGAAAACATTACTGAAATCACCTAAGGACGGACACCTGCACATATCAGTTTCCCCGAACCCTCCTGAGGCCTAATCGCGCGCGCAGAGGAAACCGGCGTCGAAAACGTTTTGGTAAAAAATGGCACACAAACTGCTGCCAAACCGGCGGGAGTTTCGCAACGGCCGTTTTTGTGGGTCGAAAATAAAAATAATCACATGTACTCACATTTGGAAAAGCCGCGTTTTTGCGGACCCTTGTCGAGCGAACCGGCCGATCGGAGCGACGGCGCCGGCGACGATGTGATGGTGGTTGACTCGAGACTCGAGTCCAGACTCGACTCTATGCTGACGTCTTCGCCCTCTTCGGGGGCCAACAGGCGGACACCGGAGGCACCATGGCCGCCAACCACCACGCACACGGGGGCCGCACGCATGGGCAGGAGGCCATCCTCCTCTTCGATCGACACTTTCGTCGTCATCTGACTGCTCTCATCGCGCACACCTGCAAAAGTTCAAATTTAAATACAAGTTTTAAATTGCAGTTAATTTCAGTTTTGTAAAAAATTATATTGGAGTTGAGTGAATAATTATTAAGGCTGTTGGGGAAACTAAAACATGGAAACAATATAAAAAGTGGGCCTCTCTGCAATAAAATTGGAATTAATTTAACCAATCAAGTCCTGAAATTATCACATCACCATACTGGAGCTTAATTTAGATATTAATTAATTAAATAAATAAACGAATATTGAAGCTTTTAACTCCTTTTCAAAAATGAAGTTATAAATTTTGACATTTTTTTATTATTATTATTTTTTTTTTTTATCAAATTTGAAATATTATAACATTTAAAATTTAAGAAACAACTCCAAAATTGCAACTCATTGTTGTTTTTCCTCCATTTTATAAACTCATGATCTGATATTAGCATCATTTAGAGATTTTTTGCCTTTATTTCTCCGCTTTCAAAACGATAATGCTGTGATCAGTTAAAATGACTAGCAAAAAAGTAAACTGCCTGTCTAGCGCACAGTCTGTTAGAGCCAAAGTTACTCAGTAATGATGATGGAGCTTTTGATCTCTGACTGTTCGTTTTTTGAAGAAAGCGAGAAGCAACGTGCTGAACAGCTGATTAAGTGCAAAAGGCATAATCGTGCTCTGCTATGCACGACCTTTTGTTTTGAAACACGATTTGAGTTCAGGAGACTTAAACGCCAGAGCGGTCGAGTTTTCCAATTTGGTTTAATAGTTAAAAAATATGGCTCTCAATACAGAGAAAAAAAAATGTATTTCATTAATGTCAAATGGACCACAAGCAAAAACTCAAGGCCCTCAACGTGCATCAAATGCGAGTCTTGAGCAAATTTTAAATAAACATCAAGATGTGGTCTCGTCTCACAGGAGAAAACTCTCTTCGGCAAAATAAGCCATCAAGAATATTTTAAAAGAAATTTCTTATTTGAAAATTGGATGTAAATGCAAAATAATTAAGAATTTAGTTTTCTTGTTGATAAAAAAAAAAAAAAATTTAATTATTTAATTTTTACTTTGAATTTATTAAAAAAAAAATAATGACAATATTTTATTTTCTCAAAATTTTGTACCTTGGAAAAAATGATGGAGTTGTGCGGCCTGTGGATCGCGGGGGGTCGTTGAGAGGAGCAGGGCTTCTTTGTCAGTCGATCATGGCGCGGCACCGAACCAGTCAAACGCAGAAGCGAAACTGAGCGTCTCGGCAACGACTGCTTGCTTCGGTGCTGGAAGGCGCGCGCGCGAGGGAAGGGGGCTTCGCGCTGCACTGTACGTCGGCGGTGTTCGTTCGGCCGGGTGCAGGCCACGCAGCCTTGAACCGCGGCAGAGCCTTCGCAGCCCAGGCAAAACGTCTGCCTAACTTTGTGGCAATCAGGGAAACGAACGAGCATGAATGGGACGATTTGGCGGTCAAACCCGAGACCGTCGGGGTCAGATTGCGCCCCCAAGCGCAATCGGCAAAAAAACTTAAGCCAACCATTATAATTACAGTGCGGGTCAGAATAATGCTTCCTTCCTGATTGCACTTGTTCTTTTTTCTTTCGATACTTGTTAAAATTAAAACAAAAAATAAATTTGAAGGTAAATCATAGAAGTGGGGGGAAACAGACGCTGTTGCAAATTTTACTATTTTTACACAAAAATTAAAAAAATGATACTTTTTCTTATTATTATTTTTATACTTCTCAAAATAAAATTTTGGCTTTTTTAATTTTCTTGCTCATGAAATGTGATTGTGACCAGAACTAGCAGAGATGATAAGTTCTTTTTCAGTTAAAAGCAGTTTTATCCTGAGTAAAATAAATCTTCTCTGACACGAAATTTCATTAAAAAAAATCAAAATTAATTAGAGATTTTTTTTGTAATATTAAAAAAATTTCAGGAAACCCTTTAAAGAAATTATTGGAAAGAAAAATTTGAAGACAAAAACAAAATAACGTTTTATTATTGTTACAAACTTTTTAATTTTCATTTATTTTGAGAGTCCATTACTGAAAATGTGACCGAAATTTTCGCTAAAAAATATAATAAACAACGTTGCCAAAATTTCAACAGTCTAGACTCTCTTTTTCAACTCTCGATTTCTGCGGGCCGGCTTCAGAAATCGCTTGTGGCCGGGCAGGTATGTATAAAGCACCTGCCGAACGCGTAATCTCTCGCCGCGTCATTGAATTTAGGTCAAATATTTGGCCGCGGCCGGCTGCGGAGCTAAAGCAGGAAACAACTCTTTCTTTTGTGTGCCTCGGAAGGACGCAAAGGTTATAAATACAAGATTCGCCGAATTAATTTTCGCACACACGCCTCATACTCCGCCCCACGCATTGGCAATGAGGGGGCCAGCGATGGACCCTCGCGGGCGTCCGCTAGATTATTATACAATAACGTCCGCGTTACACGAGAGACCTTGTTGCGTCCATCAGTGACATAACTATTAATCAACCGGTCCAAACCCTTTCCTCATATCATAGAAGCGAACATCACTTTTGGCGCGTAAAGGTTTTTTTTTGTATAGATGCAATAAAAAAGCAAGGACAAAACATTGCTTATTTGTGCAAGGAAAAGGGTTAAAATTTTACGTGTAAGGGAAGCAATTCTGAAAGTTAAAATTTTTCTAGGAATTAAATTTTGAAAAGATAAATTTATAATTAGATAAAAAAATTCATTTTTTTCTGTAAATAAAGAAGAGATTATCACCAAATGAAGGTAGATAAAATTTTTTGATGAAAGCATCCATTACACATAAAATTGTGAATTAATTCCACATACATTTATTTATTTCCCTCTTTCAAGCATCACAAACTCTTTTAGACTTTTCTTTAAAATTTAGTCAATGCCACTTCACGTTTCTCAGCTTAGCGTGAAAAAAAAACAATAAGTCACCTGTGCTTCTTCTTCTCGCCAAATTTATCACTCTCCTGTTACTGACGATAGTTTTCATTTCTTGCATAATTATTCACCGACACTCAATTACCAAACGAAGAAGTTATTTTTTACGCACATTGTGAAGCCGGACTTGTTGGCCCCGAGTTGACAAATTTGGCCTCCCTTTGCGGATAATTTCAATTGACAGCAACCGCATAAATCGTGTTATGGTCCTTCCTGAAAGTACACACAATTACGTGAGCTCGTTAGACCGAGAGGTGTAAATTCGCCCCTCGCCATAGGAAGTAGTGCCAGCCGTCAAAATAGCATCAGCGTTTTTAGGTCAGGGATCAAAAACCCGCGTTCGACCTCTAGAAAATTAGCCGGTTCTGTCAAACTCACGTTGAAGACGAATTAGGAAAAGACGCTGAGAAGCTGCTCTTTTGGTTCCGACGTCACCGACCAAAGCTGTAAAATCGCGCAAAAAATACCCACGTCACATCTGCATTTTAACCTCCAAAAAATCGGAGTAAAAAGTTTACCGAAAACCAAAGAATCAAAACGGTGGTGGACGAGCGTGGGATAAAAAAGCCGAAATTTATTTATCCTCGGGCGAAACGAACGCGGACGCGCTAGGTGAATGTTGCGTAATTAGCTGCGAGGAAGAAAATAACACGCGGCCGCGAAAGTAAAAGTGAGTGCTTTTTTTAATTAATCGCCTTCACGGCGCGGTGATTCCGCGTGATAACGAGCGGGCCTCATTCGAGAGATGACCAAATTGGCAGAGGGAAAGATAACAGCTTCATGATAATCGCCACGACCTCCCCCCACCCTCCTAAAAACGCTCTTTTGTTATTCAAATCGGTCATGTGTGCACGCGCGCGGCGCAATAATTGGACGCAAAAGGTGCGAATTAATATCTAATGGCATTGTGACGAAAATTGAAAGGAGCTGCAGAAATTAGCGGAGACGCGTTTGCGATTTCGTGCGTGCGCTGCAATTAGGCGTCGACGTTCCTACTGGCCTACACTCGTAATTATACACATTTTGAGTGATGCCATTATTTCAACCATATCACTTTGAGGGACCTTTCATTCCGATTGCCAAATCTAATTCCTTTTTATCTACACGCACAATTTCTCTACTTGATTGTGGTGCCCGCCAAAGTAAAATTTTATGGTTATTTTTGGCATTGAAAATTGAACAAAGATTTAAGGTTGTTCTTGTTTTGAATGATGGTAATTAATTTTAATAGAGAGGAACCAGCATGTTTTGCGAATCAGGAAATGAAGTGATTTTTTAATCATTTTCAGGCAAACCATTTTTTGTTGACTATCTTGTTCAAAATGAAATTCACTCTTCCAAATTGTTTTCTTTTTAAATTGTTTCTCGGACTCTCTTTATATAATTTTTATATTTTGAAATGAAAGTAAAATTGGGGGAAAAAAATGCACCATTTCATTGTTAAATTTAAGAAGTTTTTTGAGCATGCATTGCGTCAGATTATGCTTCAATTAAAATTTTCAATTTAGGAAATTGGCACTCGAGGAGACAATCATGGAAGGGCAGAAAATAAGCTTTGCCATTGCTTTTTTTTTTTCAAATTCCAATTCTTTGCTTATTATAATTAAAATTTTATCTCTTATAAAAAATATCTTATTATCATATTTATTGAGGGTTAACTCATGGCGTGATACTGCGATACATCACTATGATCAGGCAATTAATGTAGTTTGGAAGAAAAAACAAGCAAAATCCCCCAAATGCGCAAAAAAAAACAATTATCCAACTCTTCATGGAAAAAAAGCAGGAAAAATAGATAAAAAGCACGCAGTGTAAAAAATCAAAGCACAAATTTTTCAAAATTAAATGCAATATAATCAAGATTACATGAGACAAACAAACTTTAAAACAGAATGATGCCCAACCTTAAGCATATAAAACATTGCAAAAACAATTTAAGCCACTAAAATAATGTGACACTTGTAAAGCAAATTAGCATCATCATGTCATATTTCTTACTTGCTTTTCCCAATTTCAGCGAATTTCGTTTTTAACATGAAAATTAGGAAACAAGGTTTACACGAATCGTAAATCAAATTGACGCATTGCTCATATTGCTCATATTTGACGCGCATCACAATATTTCGTCCTTGCGCGTGCCGTAACCTTTTTGCCGATAATTCTAATGGACGTGCCAATCCGGCTAAACTTGACTCGTGTCAAAACTGCCTACCGCGCGCTGCTTTGCATTTTCGAAAATTGCAAAGTCACAGGCGAGCAGAGACAATATGCGGTGTGTCGCCAGCCGGTCGAGTTACTCTATAGTTTTGCGCAAACCTTGACATTTGAATTAGCTGCAATTACGTGCTCATCGCATGCCTCAAGACGAGAGCCGCAAATTTCACTTTTTACCCGCAGAGGGAGCAGAGCACTTAACCATTGTTCTTGTTGTTTCGACAAGAAACGCCGCGATTGTGTGTTTTTTTTTAGTCGCAATTACCCTTGCATTGTGCCGAGCCCACCGAAAACCACGCGTTTTACGTCATTTTCAGCACGAAAAACTGCGGCAATTTGTCCTCACCGCGCCGACGAGACATCGTCAGCAGATTGATGGATATTCCAGATTGGGCTGCGGACGTGATTTGGATATGCATATAATCTTGCAATTAGCCTCGGATAAATAGTATGCCGCAAAATAATTTTTTTCTGACGATTCTGGTAATGAAACATGAAACATTGTTTAAAAATGTGTGAACATTGGAAACTTCATAATATTATATGAAAATTACGTGGAATAAATTAAATGTTTTTTTTCCAAATTGAGACAAAAAAATTTTTAGACACTCATGAAAAGTAAATTGAATTCTTTTTAATATAAAGATTGTTATTTTCATTTTAAGTGTCAATTTTAAATTAATTTATAACTTTGTAAATATTTAATTTTAAGAATTTATTATCAAAAGTATTTTGTAATTATATTTTAATTATTACAATCAAATATATTAAGTTTTTTAAATAAATATTTAAATCATTATTTTAAAAATTATATATTTTTGTGCATTCAACTCATTGAAAGACAATTAATTATCCAACATAAATATTAAAATATCCTAGTTGCAAGCCTCCTAAGCTAAACGAAAAACGAAAAGGACCAAATGGTAAATAAATATCCAGGATTAATCCGAATTTGTTTTTAAATTCAAAATAGCAGTTTAAATGGAATATAATATTTCTTAATATTAAAAATGACATTCAACTGGAAGTTGAAATTTTTGAATCAGCAAAATTAGCAGAAATTTAAGGCCATTGAAAATTGTCGATATCACATTTTAGTATCAA